GCCGTCGCGGATCGCTGGCAGCTGCTATTACTTAACCATATCCAAACTAATGAATAAAGAGGAAATCAATTACTACAAACTCGCCATCATATGGATTCAATAATCGCAAAGTTCTATACCACTATTTCCTGTTCCACAACCCCCGTCTTAAAACTGAAATTGCCACTGGTGATACTCTAGAGTTCCGGTTGCGATTGAAAACATGAAAATATGCAAAGCTTCAGAAATTGAGTAATATCACTGACGATTTCTCCAGAGCTGGTAGCTAAAATCTGTTGTACTTGTCGCAAAATGTACCACATCATGTCTTCTAGAGGAAAAAATCCTAAACCAGTGGAGAACATCGTTTGCAGTTATGTTACCTTACAAAAGCGACTGTAGTGATCCTCGCAGCAATCATCCTGTGTGCTTGATGAGCCGACTGTACATTCATTTTACGAAAATCATCCTTTTGAGCATATTGAAGATATTATGTTGAGACACAGCCAGTTGAAGAAAACTGGATTCCAGCAAGTGGATTCTGCTGCACGGACTACGTCTAAAGAGGGTCACGGTATTACAGAAGTTTGTCGGAAATACCGTATGCTTTCTTCTAACCTTTACTGACCGTAGAAAAACGTTTCACATCGTCGACAACCAATAAAGTCCTAATGTGCTCGTCTACCAGGGTGTAGAGCGTCTTAGACTTAGAAGTCGCTCAAAAGTGACGAGAAAGGCATACGGATTGATGAAAAATTTCTATCAAACCCTCGTTTTGCGGACGACATCAAATCTTTTTCGGAAAGAGCACTGAAGTAGAGAACGATGCTTAGTGAGCTCAACGAAATGGGGAAACAGGAATGACTACGCAAGCAACAGGATACACAGAGCGTGAACAACCCATGATGAGAAGATGAGCGAATGAAAATGGATGGTTCTTTGATTAAGGAGACCAGCTCGCAGTGTTCCTTGCATGTTCATTAAACACAGAGAACAACGTGAAGAAAAAGCTTAGAAATGAGGAAAGTAGCATGAAGCGTAACTCACAGCCTCATGAAAATTACGACCAAATAGCAAATCCCAAGTTTCGCGCTCATCTTTTCGATTGGACAATCCACAGCAGAGACGTAGATTAATACTACAACCACGTCAAAAACTCTGCGCACGTACTCAGAGGGCGACTGAGAGAAGTATTCTAGAAGTCAACAGGTTGCTTAGAACCTCTAGCAGATTTGAGCATTCCGTTCTTCAAAAACTATTTCATATCTCATAATCTAGAGCTCATGCGCACTTTCAGTGCAACACAGATAGGTCGGTGTGATATATAACGGCGAGTGGATGTGTTTGTAGATAACGTCTTCTGTGTGCCTTCCTAGATCGCAACGAGTTTCATGGAATGGTGTCCATATGCCACCGATGCTCAACAGCAGGCCACCACTATGCATTATAGTTACGCGAGACCGAAACGAATGGAAACTATGTTGGAGACCGCTGCACCAGTTAAGGCGTCCGTCCAATTATCTGAGTAGAAGATCATCACTAGTGAGCGATAAAATAGTAAAGAGGTGTAAATGGAGTTGACAAATTCACTTTTGGTTACTATACATAGGTTTTGTAGCGGCAAAACAAGTTCCAATCAGAAGATCTTCGAGAAGGTCGTAAGAGGCCGTAAACACGAAGTGCACGATAGATATCTCATGGTATTCACTTAAGTATAATGAAAAAAGAAGATGTAAGCTTGCCATGTAACCAGTTTTTAAGATTAGCCATAACTTCAGAAAGAAATTACTTTAGATAAAACTCAAACCCGCCGAATTTTTGTAGGTTTAGGATTAGATCTGCGCGCTACCTCCTCCGACACGAGATATGAAATAGAAGACGAGTAAATTACACGAAGCATTATCTTTTCCTTTTTAGTGCAATGCAATTTCTTCAAACTGTTAATAAATAGTCAACGTTTCGGTAGATTTCGCCCCCACCAGAGTGAGAAAAGATCACATTGTTTACATACAAATCAGCCAATATCTCTGCGTCCAAATTTCCTTAATAGTACTCTTCTCCAGCACTCTTATCCATTTTAGTGGTTTACTAATTGGGATGCCATACTGCGGGATAGTCTCAACGAGGATATTCTTCGACTTCGCAAAAACCAACTCGAGATCTGGTCGAAAACAATGTGATAAACAAGTTTTTTCATTGGATCAGATCTACTCACTAACAGTGCACTATGATAATTGGATTAAAACACAACTTTCGCTGTAATTTGCATAGACGATTCATTGAGGTCATTCCCTAAACCATAACTGGCTGATTGTCATTCAAGTTCACTTCAAAACCAATCTTCTTTTTTGAACTGTCCTTTCTTTTTGAACTTGCTCAAGTTTGGCACTTTATTTCGGACTGCTTTTCTAGATTGAGTAATATTTACTTTTTATTATGTGCAATGACAAATCGGCGACCTTTGCTAAATAGGTAGTTGAACGGGTTTTTCATTTAATGAATAGACATTTAAACAATTTCTGCTGAGGTCTTTTTCAATAACCACACAGTGGTTCTCTGAAAGGCGGACATTACATCGACTATATTCGGCCATTCTTGAACACACAGTAGCAACGATCAATCAAAGTGGTGGTAAAACCTTGTGCTTATTGTCCACAAAAAGTTCAGCTCTCTAGTTATCATAGCTGTTCAGTGTTTTTGACTACTTTTCAGTTTCAGTTAAAAACCTAGAAAGCAGCCCAGATCTTTGATAAATGATCTGTGAAATCAAACAAGTGGAGTTATGGTGTATACTTCAAGGAATTATATAAATAAACTCACCGTCTTACATGGCTTTACCACCATATTTTCCCCATCCTCCAGTTTCCTTCATGTGACACATCCTCAACAGCTTTAAGACTTTTCTCCTGCTTCTATTTTGTTGCAAGAGATTGAGGTGGGGCAGCTAACGATTCTGACTTGATTTTGCGCTGCTTAGGGTTGCGCTACCACTATGCTGGTGTCAAGTCTAAATGGACTTCGATTACAACTAGCTGAATTAGTTCCCGATAAAGACTATCGATTGACCTTGGTAAAGTTGGATTAAATCAATAATTCTATTTGATAAGTTGTTTCTGGAAGAAATGTTGTTTATGTGATAGTAGTATTGCAATACATTGCAGAGTATGATAGTGCAATACAACAGTGCAATAACAAAAGAAAATAAAATACAGTGGCTAACGTTTCTGCGAAGCTCGACTTCTTCAGAGCCTGGAAAAGGTCAAATTGATCTACAATCCCTTAGTCAAAAATCTCCATAACCCCAGCAGAGAACTCATGAAACGGGATTTTTGATCGCATACTAAAAAGCCTTATTTGAAAACACTCGCTGTTCAGATGTTTTAGGTCTTTCAGTAAATCGTTGAAGACCAACCGCAGAATCACCGTATGAATGAGTCCGTGTCTAACTGAGACAAGGAAGATTAGCCTGAGGTATGGTGCAAGGTCACATGTTATTACGTGGCACTCCTCTTTGCTGTTCATCTTTAAGCCATTACTATGTATCCAAGATACTTTCGATCTTTTACACGCGGATGTTTTTGATTGCCGCACGTGAACCGTCAATATAACGTCGAAGTCTCCAGCTTTATGTTTTTGTTTCCAATGTTAGCCTAGCTGGGCTTTTGAGTCGGAGTTTCGTCGTCCAGCTAAGTGTTCTTTTACACGAATGCAGAGTGATCCACCCACTTGGCCAACGTATTCGTTCTCTTATGCCTCGCAAGAAATTAGGTAAACTTTACCAAAATCTCAAGCAACTGCCGTTTCTATCATTTCAGCGAACTTCGCACTTTTTTGCTTCTCAGAGGCGGTCATACGTCGGTTACGATTGGCCCTTTAGGGTATATGGGGGTATCTCGACTACTGCTACTGATTAGTCCAAACCTACTCTTTTTAGGCGGCGCTTTAGAGCTGTACATAACTAGAAATAAAGGGCAGATGAGTGGAACGATATGATCGAGAGACTTTTCCTTTGAGTGTGTCGAATTTCCTCGATATCTAACCTGAGGAGTTCTTACCGTATCGTAGCCGTTAGAGATAGGTATTTTAAGCGCGAAGCTTAAGGATTCCACCTTATGTTCTTTTTTTGTGCACACATTGATCGCTGTTCAGAACGTGATTTTACAAGTACGCATTTTGTGCGTGATGGATGAGAAGATAGGAAATAAACCAAATAATTTTGTTGCTTAGTTTACAGCTCTATTTTGTGTTGCGAGAGTCCTCTGGCAGGTTGACTTGAACGTTTAGAATGGAGGCCAATTTTTTTTTCTGGTTCCTAACGGCGTGAACTTCTTATACTCTGACTGATATCTTCGTCTGCCTTCGTGAAGAGTTGTAGTTCAATCAGACGAGCTCTCAACAAATGCGAGGAGCACGTGGAAATAATCTTATTATGAATGTTGCAGGGTTATAAGAAAACTTTCCTGAAAATCACGTACATTTTGGACTCAAGGAACTTCTCACTATTCAAGGATCCTTTCTATTTTGACTGCCACTTGCAGTGATATGATGTTATTAGTATACCCAATATGTGGAGTACTGTGCAAAAACGTTTGCGTCAGCCGGGATTCGAACCCAGATTCACTCTTTCCGGAAGCGTATGCTAACCGTTGCACTACTGACGCTCGTTTTTGCACAGCACTCTTATTTACGCTATAGCCCTTTGTCTGCTAGCAGCCAACCGTCGACGGTATGGCGGGGGAGCCGCTATTGGCATACCCAATAGTGGGAGTACTAAGCAAAAACATTTGCGTTAGCCCGGATTCGAACCCGGATCTCACTTTCTCATATTGGGTATACTAATAAACATCATACCACTGCAAGTGGCAGTTTAAATAGAAAGAATTGTGACTGATTATCGATATCCAATGTCTGTCAACTCAAGTGGGTTCAGTGCCAATAGCGGCTGCCCCGCCATGCCGTCGACGGTTGGCTGCTAGCAGACAAAGCGTTATAGCGTAAAAAAGAGTGCTGTGCAAAAACGAGCGTCGGTAGTGGAACGGTTAGCATACGCTCCCGGAAAGAGTGAGGTGTGGGTTCGAATCCCTACTGACGCAAACGTTTTTGCACAGTACTCCACATATTGGGTATACTAATATTCAAGGATCATCAGTCGTTCAGAAAAAAGCTTTGTTCAGAGAAATATAAGTGCGATAATTATAGGACCATACAGTGCGTGAAGCACAATTTTAATCTGAATGCTACCGCGCTATAAGAAATTCTTTTGAAAAACAAGCGCGCAAAGCAGCTCTCTAAGATTTGCGTTTTCGAATCGCTATCGTACAAATCGTTTTAACGGGCATATTGTACTGAGATTCTTCGAAAATTTTGAAAAACTGATGGAGCCAAAGCTCTCTATTAGCGTCTTAACGCCAGTATGCCTGCAAAAACGACCTATACGTCAACTAGGAGGGCTATATTGAGGTGAGAAACCATGACAATTTATCTAAACTTAAAGCAATAAGTCTTATTCTATTTGTTTTGACACACATTATCATTAGATTAGAGTCCGCTAGTTCAATTATTTCCTTTTACACAGAAAAGCATTGGCCTTGTTCATGTCATCTTCTCGATAAGTCTTGTGGAGATTTGAATCGAGTATGTTATAATATCACCCCCTTGCTGTGTACTCATTTCCAATGTCCACGCACCATTTGTCCTATGTATGAGCGAACGTAGTACCTTAGTCTCCAACGTTCTGTTGAGCAGCGTTTCTGGGAAAACCTCACGACTCGCAGATATCGCCCATATTTATCGAAGCTTTTTGTGTGACCCTTAGAAAATGATAGGAATCATTGGTACTGCGCCTTCCATTCCCACTTCCACCACCGTATCAAGAAGATTCTTCATCTTCACCACTGTCATAGCTCTTTTGTGTCGACTGTGCATTGCTTCTTGCCAGTTATAGTCGGCTACAGTCATTATCACTTGCAAATTTATCACAAGTCCTCGATCCAACGAGAACATTACCACTTTTGTTTCCCGCCTACTTCTGAACACTCCTCCCGCGCAATTATCTCTAATCGTCTCTGGCTTATCAACTCCGCCCACTTCAACGACGCTGTAAATGACCGATATTGATCTACTACCTCATTTCTGCCACCACCCCTAAACAATGCTGCCGGACAATTTCCCACTCAGGTAAGGATGGCTTTGAAATGTCAAGATATTTGAATTGTTCTTTTCTAATTCCTACTTTTTAATGAATTTAATCAATTATGTTGATGCTATTAGAACAGAACTTAGCACTGACTTTTTTTTCCAAACAATCTTCTTGATCTTCTAACAATTCTTTGAGTCATGTGACCTCTTTCTTCACAGAAATGCCATGAGAAATGGGCACAAAATTCAAGTATTCCTCTCAGTAATTGAATACGACGGCTTAGCATCCAACGATTTGAATTTTCGGTCAATGCTCACTTTATTATAGTCGCATAACTCATGATTGGAGTCAATGATGTAGCAATAATCATTGCCAATTGTACTCTTTCTTTTGTTCTATTTCTTCTTGAAAATAGACGACAGCATCGTTTTCGACCACAGACAGGCATAAGTGTGATCGAAAACGCACCAATGATCAGTGGTTCAATTTCGTATCAAGACTAATCGTCGTTGAATATTCAGTAGTATATTGGTTTTTTTCTATGATCAACCATGACATTTATTATGCAGATGGCAGCGTTTTTAAAATTCGTTTAGTTTTCTCGAATTCATCTTTTATAAAGGTCTTCAAGGATGTTGCAGTATAGTTCTAGTAGTGTGTCTATCCGTCTGTGTGTCTATCTGTCTGTGCTATCTGCACCCATTTTCAGCTCATTTGAAAGAAACTCCTCTTTTCCAGGGGTTTATACTCATTTGATAGCTTCGGAAATTAATATAAGTTACTTAATTAGAAATAAATCATGGATATTTCAATGATGTACCTGGTTTTTGAAAAAAAGACTTTCTTTTGCACTCTAGCAATAGCAGTAAAACTATTTTTGACACTTACGCAGTTTCGCTGGACACAGTTTTCTTCTAAACTTTCATTGAGCACTTGGTAACACAATTCTTGACAATCTCAATGGTTTGCTTGCTTTTCAAAAAGAACTTTCTGTTGCGTTCTTGTAGCCGAATGAAGTCTGGGTTTCGCACTCGGCGCGCATTTCTTATTGGCAACGGGTGTGTGTGTTTCGAGAACGCAATGGCCCGATACCTATATTGCATCTCATTAACTTAGCGAAGGAAGGAATGCGTGCCACGTGTGAGATGCAGTTTTACTTCCACCCTTAGTGGGGTGGGGATGAATTCTTTTCTTTTCTTTTGAGAGAAGGAGAATTCTTTTGATTAAACCTTACACAACATTGAAATAATCGAGATTTGGGCTACCTAATGATTACCAAAAGTTCCAGATAAGCTCCGTCCAAGAAAATGGTTTCGATTTTTAAGCACAATTTCTTTCATACCTTCACAGCTTTATTCAGGCCCCTTTGAAGATAAAATCTAAACTATCGAACGACTACTTTAAACACGGGAAAAAAGCAAAAAAGTCGTTTTTTTGCCAGGGGGAAAATGGATGCGGATAAAGAAAAAGCACCTATTTTTTCACAAGTCTCCGCTTTGTGCATGTTGGGTGAGCGTAGAGGTAAAAATAGTATATGATTTACTCTTTGGCCTTTGATACCACTTTGATTAGTGAACGTTTTCGTACAGACTGACTTGAGCGTTCGAGACTAGTAGTCCATCTGCTTTAGATTTTCTCTCTTGATAGATATTTATGTGCTTTTACTGCTCACATAACAACTCAAAACATCCGTGCGTCTCCTATTGTGTGTGGCAGATGACATATTAGTCATCTATGTAACGACAGCAAAGATCATTACTGCTTCCGCCTCAGGCATGGATGCAATAACAAGCTATTGCCCAAGTCGGTGGTACTCCGTTGCTAGTCCTCTCAGTTGTGTGGAATATTCTTCACTATGTGAAAATTGAGCAATTAAGGCACTTCCTGTAACGAATAGTAGTTCAGTGGGGAAAGTCGATGCCTCAAAGCCGTAATGACGCGATTATCGAATATTCGCTTCAGTTGTAGTGTTGAGTGTAGGTGTGTGCATTAGAGTGTCTGCGACGCGGACTATTTCTAGTTACAGCATGAAAAAACAAGGTATAAATAAGCCAACATGTCATGTGGTCTGGTAAGGGCTCTTGTACAGCCCGATACACGTGATTCTTCCTTACAGACTCGTCAGTCGGGCAGAACCAGTCGTCTTTCAATTTTTAATAAAAGATTAAATTTCAATTAAAAGATCGAAAGACGACGAGTTCCGCCCGACTGACGAGTCTGCAAGGACGAAATACGTGTATCGGGCTGTACAAGAGCCCTTACCAGACCACACGACATGTTGGCTCAAATAATTATATAATTATACATCAATACCCATCAACAGTATCAATAGCGAATCGATGGTAGATTACGTAACACAACAATGGATAGATAACTGTCAAGGTCCTATCGATACTCACTTACTTTCACAACAATGATATGTTGGAAAACAATGTGGAACTTATGAGTACGGAGGTCATAAAGCAAAGAATAAATTTGTGAAAAGTATTGATCATAGGTCAAATGT